AAAAAAAAGCAAAAAACAAAAAACAAAAAACAACTGTGCTATATGCTTATAATCCCAGCTCAGAGGGGATGGAGATGGTAGGATCCCTGAGGCTCACTGACCAGTCAGGTTTTCCTACATGGAAAGTCCAAGGCAAGTGAAAGATCCTGTTCCAAAAGGAGGAGTATGACTGCAGAATGTCACCCAAGATTGTCCCCTGGCCTCAACATGCAATTGAATGTATATCTCCCAGCATACATGCACTCACACAGATCCTTGGTATATATTATATAATATACATTATATAATATTTTTTATGTGTTGGAATGGTAGTGAACTTGTTGGAGGAAGTCTGTCACTGGGGGGTAGGCTTCAGTGTTTTAAATCCTCAAGCCAGGCCCAGCTCCCTCTCTCCATACACATACTTACATGCACTTACATGTGTGGAGAGAGAGAGACAGACAGAAAGAAAGAAAGAAAGAAAGAAAGAAAGAAAGAAAGAAAGAAAGAAAGAAAGAAAGAAAGACCATCACAGTGAACACTACAACTGACCACCTCAATAACCACAGTAGTCACTGTGGTTGTCATTAGGATGGTCAGTTGTAGTATTCACTGTGGTGGTCTGTCACAGTGGTCATTTGGTGGTCATTGATGTGGTCAGTGTAGTGCCCACTGATTGACTGTCAAGTGGTCACTTTGTGGTCATTGATGTGGTCAGTGTAATGCTCACTGATTGTCAGTCACAGTGGTCACTTTGGTGGTCATTGATGTGGTCAGTGTAGTGCTCACTGATTGTCAGTCATAGAGATAATTTCGGTGGTCATTGATGTGGTCAGTGTAGTGTTCACTGTGATAGTCAGTAATAGTGGTCTCTGTGTTGGTCAGTTTGCAGTATTCACTGTGATGGCTAGACACACTGGTTACTGTCAAAGTCATGGTTACTGTCAAAGTCATTGATGTGGTCAGTCATAGTTTTCACTGTAATGATCACCTAGAGTGGTCACTGTGATGGCCATTTGTATTGTTCAGTGTGATATTCAGCCATAGTGATCATTCTGTGGATGGATGGATGGATGGATGGATGGATGGATGGATGGAGACAGAAGAAAGAATACCATCAAAAAGAATGAACAGAGGCAACTATTTTGAATACTAAATGTCCAGGAATGATTGACAGAGAAATAAAGAAGAGTGAATCTGAGCATCACTGACAAAAAAAAAAAAAAAAAGACACAGGAGAGGGGAGACATGAGAAAGTAGAGTTGGTACATATGAAGAGGCAGAACAACAGGCAGGAAGTGCAGCACAATGAGGTATGGCCTGAAAGAAAAGACTGGACCTCTGTTGGATAGAGGTATAGTCACTGAGAACCTGTATTTTTTCCTTAGCTCATTTGAGTGCCAAACATTCTGAAGGATCATGGTTGGTGCATTCCTTGGTGTCACCTCCACTCCTTAGTCTATCAATTCATCATATCTGATGAATCCAAACTTCTTAAATGCATACAGGGAGAGAGTGAGAAGGGAAGCAGCCTATTAGGTATGATGGAGAAGTTAACTATCGTGCCTTGATCTTTGGTTTCCTGTGATAGGGCAGTGGGGGGGACTCTTCCTTTCGTTTTCTTACTTCTCTCCCTAAGCATGTATATACAAAATGCCTTTAACAAATTTGAGGGAGCTAAAAAAGACCCAGCTGGGCTTCTTGATAGAGTCAGGGACTTCTCAGCAGGTGATGTGAGGGGAAAGACTAGGAAAGGCGTACCTCTCCGTTATACTGGAAACAGGGAGGTAGTCTGAGATGGGCAGGTGTGCAGCACAGAATTAGCACCGGGAACTGGCAAGGGTGGCAGAGATGATTGTGTGTTCAGTGTCAGAGGAGCTGGCATTTGGTTGTTATGATAGTGATCTGTGAGGTGAAATAACATACATGATGGAAAAAGAGATAAAGACCAAGATTGATATAAATACAGCCCCTAAATCAAGATCAGAGAGGGAAAAGGATGGATGGATGGATGGATGGATGGATGGATGGATGGATGGATGGATGGATGGATGGATGGATGGATATTGGATGGATGATGGACGGATGGATGGATGATGGATGGATGATGGACGGATGGATGATGGATAGATAGACATAGATAAATAGATGATAGATTTATTTTTCTATGACATCTCTCATCCATGCTGTTTAAGGCCAAGATATCTCACTTTTTTTCATATCTTAAGCTAATTACAAAATATGAACAATTATCTCCATTGAAAGTTCCGTGAGAATTCTTATATTGTGTGTTTGTCCCCTTCAGACAAGCCTGCCTGTGTAGCCCAGGTTGACCTCAAACCTGTGATCCCCCTTTCACTTGTATCTTTACCTACACTTCTGAGTGTAGATCACATTTCTGGTGGTAGATTTCATCAGAGGTTTAGTCCATTAACGTCATGGAGCGACATGGCAGCACGCAGGCAGACATGGTGCTGGAGAAGGAGCTGAGATTCCCACATCTTGACCCATAGGCAACAGGAAGTGGTCTGAACTAGATATAGCTTAAACACAGGAAACCTCAAAGCCCGTCCTCACAGTGACACGCTTCCTCCAACAAGGCCACACTTAATAGTGACACTCCCTGTGAGCTTATGGGGGCCAATTACATTCAAACTACCACGCACACTCCCTCTTGAGAGACTGAGGCGGGAGGATGTGCCTTATTAAAACCACTGAGATAGATCAGTAAGTAAGCAGAAACCACATTTATTCCAGGGTCTGCACTACCTAAAGCATTGCCTTGTAATGTCAGTTGTGGGCACAGACTGAGAAGGAACAAACAGCCTTCTGTATTCCCCAACTTTAACATTCAAATAGACTTGGCCATTATAGTCTTAATCATGAAATGACTTCTTCTTTTGGTGTGTGTCATAGCTAGTCAATACATAATCTCTACTAATTATCACCTTTATAATTAAATCTAGATCAGAAGTCAGTAAACTACAGCCCAGAGGGAAAACCTAGCCTGGTGGTTATTTATAAAGTTTTATTAGAACACATCATTTTATTTACATATAAGGAGCAAACAGCCTTCTGTATTCCTCAACTTCCTATTATGACTGAAAAGCTGAGGGATCACAAAGGAAATCTTGAACCACAAGACCTTGGATGTTGCCATCTAGGCCATTATAGGAAATGGTCCTGACTTCTGATCTGGATTTCAGTGTTTATTTTTCAGAAAGTACTAAGCAAACTTGAGGAAAGTTAATTTTTTGGTTTTTTAATATTTTATTTATTTATTATGTATACAACATTCTGCTTCCATGTATATCTGCACACCAGAAGAGGGCTCATAACAGATAGTTGTGAGCCACCATCTGGTTGCTGGGAATTGAACTCAGGACCTCTGGAAGAGCAGTCAGTGCTCTTAACCTCTGAGCCATCTCTCCAACCCGAGGAAAGTTAGTTTTAAATGGTGTTTTTGTCAAATGCTGCTTGCAATGTGATGTTAGAAATAAGAGACTTCTGTGATGTTTACTCAAGTTACATAATGAGACATATCAACTCTTTTTCACAAAGAGGCAGAAAAAGAGGTAAACAAAAATGTGATTTATCAACTCTTAATGAATAAGAATCTTAAAAATGTTTTTGATATGGGGTTTCACTGTGCAATCCTGGCTGGCCTAGAACTCACTATGTAAACCATCCTTACCTTGAACTCGTAGCGATCCACCTGCCACTGCTTTCCAGTGTTAGGATTAAAGGCATGGCCTCTGTGCCTGGCCCTAGCTTTTTTTTTTTTTTTTTTTTCATTTTAATGTATTATACTGGGCCACGAGAGCCATTTCAATGAAAGTAAGTAGTGTTCTTTGATCATATTCCACCAGGACCAATGGCCCTCCACTCCACATTCCCTTTGGTCCACTGTGTCTCTTAGACAAATTTGCTCCTACTTTCTTATCATCTGTACATATAATTCTGTCTCTGAATGAATTCATAACAACCACAGATGAAAGCAAACATGCCTTTGTCTTCCTGAAGCTTGCTTAGTTTCCTTAATATAATGATCTCCAGTTATATCTATTTTTCCTGCAAATGGCATAATTTTGATTTTATTTTTTTGGCTGAAAGAAATTCCACTGTGTACATAAATCAGTTTCTTTACCTATTCCTCTGCTGGTGGGCACCTAAAGTGATCCACAGCTTGTCAGAACTGCTGCAACAAATGTTGATGAAGTTCTTACTCTGCACTCTGTGCGGTGGGTGAGTGACAACTAGTTTTCTTGATTGCCTGTTGAAATCACTAACAAATCTTAAGCTCATCATCAGTATTGGTCAGTTTCAACAGCATGACAGGTTGCTGATAACTCCCATTCCACAGATTAGTTAGTTGATTTGGAAGGGGCCCAGAGCTACATGTGTCCTCATGTGATGGCCATTCTTGAGGGAGGAAATAGGTATGTGACTCACATGATACTTAGCATACCTTTTTCTTGCCCACATAGAAAGCCACAGAAACACACAGATCTTGATGGCAATGCAAGACCCGTGTTCTAATTCCTAATATCCTGTGTGCCTTTACCCTGTCATTTATCCTTTTCTAACTCAATTTGTTTATCTGTAAAGATGTGATATAGGAAGGGTTGGAGAGATGTCTCAGTGGTTAAGAGCACTGACTGCTCTTCCAGAGGACCCAGGTACAATTCCCAGTACCCACATAGCAGCTCATAACTGCCCATAACTCCAAGATCAGGATACCTTCACACAGACACACATGTAGACAAAATGCCAATGGACATTAAAAGCAAAAAGATGTGACATAGGGTTTCAGGTGAATTAAGCTGAGTAACCTGCCAAGGTCACTGTTGCTTTGATAGACTGCTCTGAAGCAACTGTAGGATGCTCCACCCACCTCATCCCAGCCCCTGTGTCTTTGATAGATCCCTTAACTGGCTGGAAGGCAGAGCCACTACTATGGAAGTTCATTTTAAGGCCTTCAGCATCTGGTTCGATGGAATTGGATCCACGCACTCTGAGAGCCGTGCTGATACCAGGAAATGAGGATGGTCTTGAAAAGCTGGGAGGCTGGAGGGGTTTTGATAAGCTGCAGGCAAATGATACATACTTTATGTGCCAGCACCCACACTGCTAGGCAAGCAGTCACCAGTAGGCACTCAGACATGTGCTAGCACACAGTCAGGCAGGCTGAGTGGAGGAAGGCATACGGGCCTGAAGACAGACATACACAGGCAGGCAAGCTGGTAAAGTTGACCTCAAGGCCATATTGATACAGAACCACACAAAAGTGGCACTCTGCCAGAACTCATTATCTAACAGATGACATCACTATTTTCCTTGGGGTCTCCAGATAGCTGATGTCACCTTTCCTGCCATGTCCAGTGTCATCCATGTTTTAGCTGACTTATATCAGATATCCATATCAGCATCATGATGTTAAAATATAAACACCCTCCTGACTTTCTGTTTCCGACTCAAACACCCCTCGAGTGGTATGCAGGGCTTCTGTAGTATCTTCAGGATCTTCAAGAGCTACTACCTGAGCCCTCAGGCAAGCTCAGGAAAGGAGAGAGACAGCAAATCAGATGAAAGGTGAACGATGACACCACCTCATTGGGTGCCCCCTTCCATCCCTGTCTACCATAGATGCCTCAAAGAGCACAACAAAATTTGAGTTGTTTTTCCCATCTACAAAATTCCAAAGCCATTATATAATGAGAACTATCTCTTCAAAATGTTAGTAGGAAAGTCACTGAACAGTGGCCGCTGTGGCCAACAAGTTTGAGAGCTGGGATTCTGCCCCACAAGGCTCCAGTCGCTATGCAGGAGTTCAGAGGTTGGGAGCAGAGTGTGTTGTTATCTATAAGCATCCAATCATTCATAAAAGAAAGATCTTTAAGTGTAACTCATCCATGGCAAAGCCCAATGCATTTTAGTTGCAGAAACAAGATACTAAAGGGGTGGCGGAAAGGCTGTGCACAGTTCTAGAATAAAGTGAAATGTGTCCCTGCAGGTCCGAGAAATCCCAGACAACACAATGTGGACTTTAGCAGTCCTGAGCTTCCGGTGACCTGTGGTACTGCTAAGGGGATTCTGCATAAGAAGAAATTTGAGCAAGGTGAGTTTCCAGATCTTCTGTGCTCTTCACCTGAACAATGGCAGGGTGTAGGGAGCAAGCACCTGTGTTGGGGGTGTCTCATCCCAGATCTAGTTTGCAAACACAGGATACAGGCAATGTTACACCAGTTATTGAAACCATGAGGAGGGGGCATGAGAACAGGTCCAGAGGACCCAGAAACCTTTGGCCTTCCTCTCCTAGTGGGACACACAGAGTGCAATTAATTACCTCAGAAACAAAAGTGTGGAAGGTTTCTTTGAAGGGGCTGCCCCAGACCAGGACCTGAGCTTCTGTCAGCAATGAGTTATGCAGGTACCTCTCTGCACAGCGCACACCAAATCCAGATACCCACAGGGAAAGTGGTTCTTGTGTGTGAAATGAACTGTGTGTAAATAATTTCAGCATGGAGAAGTTACTCTGGTGTTTCTGGGAGTGCCAGAAGCTCTCCCCAAAGGCACATTCGTAGACCCCAGCCAAAGGCCAATTATGCCAGATGGTATTTCTCAGGAGAGTCTCAGGCCTGCTGTGTTTATTCTTTTCTTCACCAAACCCCAGAGAGACAGCAGGAATGAGGGCATTTTTCATATTTTTCTTTTTCTCTTTCTTGTAGCACTGGGATTAAACCCAGGGCCTTGTGCATGTGAGGCAAACTCTCTGTCACTGAGCTGCATCCAAAGCTGCAGTTGTGCCTATTTAAATATCATGCATCTGTACAGAGCCTCCCCTTCCAGCTGTGAAAAAGGCCGATAAGATGCCCACTTAGCATCTCATACCAGAGAAAGCACCAACACACCTGGAAGGGAAATGATATGCCTGAGAAAGTCAGCGTTAACCTTGTGGGTCCATTAGCTGTAACTTCTGGCAAACTTTAGGCTGAGTAAGAAAAAGACGGGGTTTTGAATTGGAATTTGAATACATTCAAACTTCAGCTTTCTTGTTGTATTAGTCCAGTGATCCTTGCTCTATTGACTATTCAAGTCAGGCTACTCTACAAACTTGCAGATTTAGAGGCTAAAAAGCCCAAGAACAGGCAACCTCATACATTGGCCTTTGGTGAGAGACTGATGGCAGGTGGCATCGTGGCAGGAGCACCACACGTCGGAGAAGAGATCACATCATAAGAAGGCAGCAGACAGTGATTGGGGTCCCATGAGAACTATCTTAAACCCTAAGGCAGCACCCTCAATGTTGTAGCGCTGCCTCGCATACCACCAAGTCATGGACCAGGTTCTCAATATATGAACCCTGGAGGCAAGGCACTCAAACCATAGCTCAGCCACAGTCAGTTTCTCTGTCCTGCGCATCAGACTCTCTAATGCCGAACTTCCTCTTATGAGATGAGAATAAAGCCTCTCTTATAATATTGCTATTAGAAAAAAGACAATAGACATTGGGTGTTGTGAAAATGACAGTTGAAACAGTACAGGACCACTGGTCGTCTCTCACGACTGTCCTTCCTTTCCACAGCACAGTTCTTTGTTTAAGATTGATTTTTATTTTCTGACGACGAGTGTTTGACTGCATTTGTGTCTATGCGCTGAGTGTGCCAGGTGGCCATGGAGACCAGAAGAGGACATCAGAGCTGGAGTTACAGATGACTGTGAGCCACTGTGTTCTCTGAGAACTGAACCTGGGTCTTCTGCAAAAGCAGCAGCCATCACCCTAGCCCCAATATGGTTCTTTAGTTACCAACAAATAAGTGTTTCCCCTATGATTTGACTGCCTACATATAATGTAGCTATTCCCTGTAGATAACATTTCCAAAGTCAGTTCTAACATCAATTAGCATGAGGCTAGAGTATGAGAAATAACCACCTGGCATGAGCAGGAAGAAGACTGTCGTAGCAGTAGCTGTGGTGACAGCTTCCTCATGGCTGGATTCACACGAGCCCAGCAGGGAGATTTCTGCCCTCATACACCTTTCTGAAATGCAAGCTGGCCCCACACTGGGTCACAGTAAAAGGAAGAGAAACAATCCTGGTTATGTTCTAGAGACACCCTCCCCACCCCTTTTTTTAATCTTTTAACATTACAGTAGAATGCTTTTAAAGGTGATGTCAAAGGCTGGAGAGACCAGTTTGTTACAAAGTGCACTGGCTGCTTTTCTAGAGGATCCAGGTTCAATTCCCAGCACCCACACAGTGGCTCACAGCCATCTAGAACTACAGTTTCAGGAGATCCAATGCCCTTTTCCGGCTTCTGTGGGCAGTAAGCACAGATGCCGTGCACAGGCACACGTGCAGACAAAACACCAGTACACATAAAATAAATGGGTTCTTTTTAGAAAGTGTAAAGGGTAATGTCAGAGGTCGTCCTTCTCTGACCTTGCCCATCAGATGCCCATCAGTGCGTCCCCTGATGACTGAGAGGGAAGTCACATCACCCTCCTGAGACTAAACCTGAGCCATAGATCCAGATGATGATGGACAAAGAGCAGGTGTTTTTGTAGCTGATTCTTGGTCTTGGCCTTACATGGTGTGGGAAGTCCTTCTGTATCCTGCATATGCCTGTTGCTTTTATTGGTTGATCAATAAATTCATTTCAGTCAATGGACAGGCAGAATTTAGCTAGGTGGGAATTCCGAACAAAGAGGCAAGGAAAGAAAGACAAAGGACAATGGCCATGTAGCCACCAGGGAGGCAGGATGCCAGGACATCACCAGGTAAGCCACAGCCACATGGAAATACATAGATTAATAGAAATGGGTTAATAATTAAGAGAGAGCTAGTCAGTAAGAAGCCTAAGCCAATGGCCAAACAATTATAAATATATATTAAGTCTCTGAGTGGTTATTTCTTAAGCAGCTGTGGGACCCAGTGGGCAGAGGAAAACTGGTCCAGCAGGATCAAGATAGATGGAGAAAGTCTCCTTCTACATTTACAGGCATCCATATTAAGAGTATACGGAGTGAGACTGGAGGTTGGCTTACTCCCATGAAGTTTGAAATCAAAGGAGACCGTGGAGGTTCCAAGAACTGGAGGCAGAGCATACGTTGCTGTGGAGAGCCCCTGAAAAAGCTGATAGAGGTATTCTGGTGGCAGATAGCTTCCATGGTTCCTGGGTAAGATGGCGGATTAAAAGCTTCTATATGACAGGCAGCTTCAATTATTCTGGGGTAAGACAACACATTAGAAGCTCTTTCAGTGTGACCTGTAAGCTTCAACTGTCATAACTCACTGGTACCAGCTGTTAGCAGAATGTCTTTGTCCACAATACCTTCACAGTTCTTCTTAGCCAGGCCCCATGGCGCAGGTGGTTGCCCGCATGTCACTCAGGTGTTACCTTGGCTGGCTTGTATTACAGCTCAGTCCTCTAAAATGTGCTAACTTGCAACCTTCAGATGGTAGGAGAAAAGACTGTGACCTTTACCATTGACTAGTTGCATAAAATTTGGCAGCATGGATATAATTTAAATTTAATTTAACTATAATTTAAACTTGGAGTGACAGTGATGAAAATGATACCTGATTCCATATCTGAAAATAACGCACCCATGTGGATGCCTGAGTTACAGAATGGTCCAGCAGTACTTCTTTCTTCTTTCTGTAGTCACCACACACTTGTTCTTGAATAACTGAGTGTGATGGGCCAAACCTCTAATCCCAGCACTTGTGAGAGTGAGGCAGGGAGATTGCTCAGAGCTCGAGGCTGGTCCAGACTCTGTAGTGAGTTCCAGGACAGCTTAGGTTATAGTCTGAGATCTTCCTCAACTCCATCTACCCAAAAAATAAGAGTAAGTAAAAGAAATATAATTTTGAAATAAGTTCTTTGCTCTTTATATATATTAAACCCCTGACTTGGGAAAATTTTCAGGATGTTTCATAAGGAACTGAACCATTTCTTTTGACTTAGGGTACACTGATCTTTCTGTCACATATATTAGATGGCCTCTCCTTGTGTCTTTCTCACAAAAAAGCAAAAAAAGTTTGCTCATCCAGTTATCAACTGGGCTGCATCTAAAGCCATGGGGAGTACAGGTGTGAGCCCCTGGCTAGGGCAAGGCTGCCCCTTCATACGGTACCTATAATCACTACTGTGAGGAGAGGTGTCTGCAGGGATGATGCTGTAGCTAAGGAGTGGGGTGGCTATTTCTGGGTTTCAGATTCAAATCCATGTCATGGAACAGTCTTCACTGAGCTGGGTCATAGAGGACAGTTCTGAAAAGTGTGGAAAGGGGCTTTCCGCAGGAGGAAAGAGAGCATGAGAAACCAGCCCTCAGTGTGTCAGGAAGCTATAAACCATCCAGTGGCATCCCTTGCCTGTGCTCACTGTGAAAATCACCAGGGTCTAGATGTTTCCTTGACTCACTGGGGGGTCCGTGAAGACACCTTGTATGTAACAGTGGTACATCCAGACAGAAATATCTGGAAGGCAGTTAGAAATACCTTGCTCATAAAATAAAAGCAAAGACCTACCCTATCATTAACATCACTGTCTTTCAGGAAGGAAAACTACCAAATCCACCAAGGAAAAGGGGAAAGGTAATTATCTCAAGACTCCTGCCATGATGACTGGGCCTATTGTCTACAAATTGTTTGTTTTTCCATCTCTATAGCCTTATAAGTTTTTAAATTGACTAATTTGGATTTAATCAAATTTGAATTTGCTTTATGGTGCTCATATAGGCTAGGGCTGCTTTGAGCATCAAAATATTTGAGATAGTGATGGGAACAAATCTTGGGAGCTATCACATGAGTGATCGCTTCTGTCTTTCAGAAGCAAAACCCACCAAATCCACGGCGGCGAACAAAGAAAAAGGTAACTATTGGATATGTCCATCTCTGTCATGTTATAGTTGTAGAATTCACTGACAATGATAAAAATATCATTAAAGTACATTTATAATGTATTGTAAATGATATTTTAAAATATTACACAATATGAAAAGTCTGTGTTCCATTTAACATTAAAACGTTTGAGATTGAGGCAGGATCAATCCTTAAAAACAGTAAAACAATGAACTGGAGATAAGGCTCAGGAATTAAAGGTACTTGCTGCCAAACCTCTGACCTGAGTTCAATCCCCAGCAACCATATGTCACAAGAAAACAGGTTCCTGAAATTTGTCCTTTGCTCTCTGGGTGTCACATGAGTGTCTATACACATATATAAATAAAGTGTAATTTTTAAAAACCTAGGGGCTGAGCTGGGCGTTGATGACAAATGCCTTTAATCCCAGCACTTGGGAGGCAGTGGCAGGCGGATCTCTGTGAGTTTGAGGCCAGCCTGGTCTACAGATAAAGTTCCAGGACAGGCTCCAAAACAATACAGAGAAACCCTGTCCTGAAAAACAAAACAAAACAAAACAACCTAGGGCTGGAAAGATGGCTCAATGGTTAAGAGAACTGGCCTCTCTTTCAAAAGAACCAGGTTAATTCCCAGCATCCATATGGTAGCTCACATCCATCTTAACTCCAGTACCAGGACATCCAGTGCCTTCTTCTGACCTGTGAAAGCACCAGGTTTAGATAATATAACCACAACTTTTTCTTCTGCTGCTTCTCTTTCTTTCTTTCTTTCTTTCTTTCTTTCTTTCTTTCTTTCTTTTTTGTTTGTTTTGTTTTTCGAGACAGCGTTTCTCTTTATTGCTTTATAACCACAATTCTTTTGTTCCTCTGCTGGAGACAAGACATTCATCTCTCATCTCTGGAGTCTGGATACCTCATTGGATGACTGTGAAAGATGCTGAGGCTCCTGGTCCTTGGACCACTGCTTCAGATGCAGAGATCTCACCTGATGACTATGCATTAGAACTCCCCAGAATGTTTAAGCATCCGGTGCTTGACTCCAGCCCAGACTCAGTGAATTGAAATAGATGTGATAAGATCTAAGATATTTGTTTTGTTTTTCTCCCTCAGTGTTAAGGATCAAACCTAGGGCCTTGCTCATGCTAGGTTGACCATTGAACCATGGAACTACATTCTCAAGCCTGGAATTTTTTTTTAATTTTGTGAGTGATTTTAGTCTATAGCATGTTGATGATTACTAAGTAAGAGAACAAATTTCCTGTTTAAAACAGGGGGTGATTGGAGAAAGGCTCAGTAGTTAAGAGTACTTGCTGCCCTTCCAAGGACCTAATTCAACCTAGCATTCACATGGTGGCTTGCAACCGTCTGTAATTCTAATTCCAGGGAATCTGAATCCTCCTTCTTCTGTTCTCTGTGGGCCCCTTGCATACATGCAAGCAAAACATCCATACACATAATTAAAATAAAAACAAAAAACCCAAAGGGGCAAAAGCATGACTCAGTGGTAAGATGGTAGAGTGTCTATCACACTCTAGGTCCCCTGGATTCAAACTCCAGCACCATGGAGAGAGGGCCCCTGAAAAGAGGTTGGAAGTGGATGGGGATGTACCTCAATGGAACAGTGATTGCCTAGGCCTGGGTTCTATGCACACATAAAAAAGAGAAACCTCAGGCTTCCAGACTGCTAGACAGTGGAACACTAGGTAGATTTGCCAGCGGAGGTACAGTTCTTTCTAAGGACTCACTTGGAGTATTTTTAATAAATGATTCAGAAATCTTGACCCAGCAGCCTGAAAATAGTGTTCAGCAAACATATTCCCATCTGCTATTATAAAAAGCAAAGACTGCTGCAAGATTCCTTGCCTCGGGACCCTGTTGGAGACAGACGACTCCAAACACATCCCTCATGGGCCATTCAAGGTTCCTATAGAGGGATCCGATGAAGCAGACTCATGTTTGCAGCCTAGAATTTGAACATTGTGTGTGGTCCTTTTGTCATAGCAAATGTCTGGGTGAAGAGAGAAACCACAAATTATAATTTTATTCACTTCATCTCTGACTTGTTAGATGGTTTCTTTTGCTGGTGATGTCATGAGTAAAGAATTCTGCACCCTATAGCATCAGGCCCTACATAAGCACAAGCAAGAGGTGAGACTTCGAACTTAGGGTGAGCATGACTGGTGTAGGGCTTGGGTATCTGAGATGAGGAGGAGCAGGGATGAGTCAGGGTTCACATCTGGGCTTCACATGATTGGAGGTTAGAGGATGATTGTAAAAGAGGAGCAGGTACAGGGTTACAGAACAGTCAAGGTCTCCCTAGAGAAGCAGAGAGTGAATGCTGGAGGCTCAAACCAAAACCAGAGCACAGACCGGAAAGACTACAGGAGGAGTGGTCGTGGGAGGAACCGTGAATATTGAGGCAAATGAAATGAGTTGAGGGCACAGGACAGAACCCAAGGAACCCCCACATTCTGTTAGTAGAACAAGCTCTTCAACCCTAGGTGGTTCTCAACCACATTCCTTGAACATTTGAAATGTCACCTTGGAAACAGAGTCAGGAGAATCAGAACTCAAGATAGCCCTGGCTACATGAGCCCCATCTCAAAAAACAACAACAAAAAAAATGATAATGATGAAATTAAATAGGTAGTTAATTAAGCCAGATTAAGACATTATATTTTTCCATTTTTATTTTAATTAGAAAGAAAATTATTCTACATGTCAATTCCAGGTCCCTTTCCCTCCCCTCCTCCCCTGCCCCCCCAACTAACACCCTACCTATCCCACACCCTTTCTGCTCCCAAGGGAGGGTGAGGCCTTCCATACAGGGTCTTCAAGGTCTGTCTTATTCTTTGGGATAAGGGTTTAGGCCAACCCCCTTGTGTCTAGGCTCAGGCAGTATCCCTCCATGTGGGATGGGCTCCCAAAGTCCATTCCTATGCCAGGGATGAGTACTGATCCACTACAAGAGGTCCCATAGATTTCCAAGGTCTCTTCACTGACACCGATATTCAGGGGTCTAGATCAGTCCCGTGCTGATTTCCCAGGTATCAGTCTGGGGACCAAGAGCTCTCCCTTGTTCAGGTCAGCTGTTAAGACATTATATTTTAGAGTTAGGCTTTCCCAAATAATAAGCTTGTCAGGTTATCTTTAATTCATCTTTTTTGTTACTGTTGCTATTACGATGGTGTTTGTGTTATTTCTGTGTCAGAATTCTATTTTCACATTGTAAATTTTTCTAGTATGACGTTTCCCAGCAATTCCATGAACTTTATTTCATATCAGAATGCCTTTTTCTAAAATCTCTGTTCAATAATAGTCTTCAATAATTTTAGGAGAGGAGCTGGAGAGATATATAAATAGTTAAGAGCACTGGCTGTTCTCCCAGAGGACCCACGTTTGGTTCCCAGCACCCACATGGCAGCTTATCTGCAAATCCAAGGCAAGGGGATATGATTCCCACTTCTGAGCTCTGCAGGCCACCTGCACAAAGGGAGTGCATGTATATACACTCAGGAACACAAACATCAATCAATATCTTTTAAAGATTTTATTTATTTATTACGTATACAACATTCTGCTTCCAATGCACACCAGAAGAGGGCACCAGATCTCATAACGGAAAGGTTGTGAGCCACCATGTGGTTGCTGGGAATTGAACTCAGGACCTCTGGAAGAGCAGTCGGTGCTCTTAACCTCTGAGCCATCTCTCCAGCCCAAATAAGTCAACATTTGAAGATACTTTGGAGTAAGGAGATTTCTGGGACTACCTTTGCTTAGGCAAAGGCCATGTGTTCTAGCATTCTGGGGTCACACTGCTCTTGGTAATTTCTGGAACATTTCTTCTTGTAGCCGGATATTTCAAAACAGTGTAAAGTGTGTGGCCAAGGACGGAGGTTGCACGAATGTGCTATGTGTAAAAAATTCTATCATAAGAGATGTCACATCCCACCTGAGGAAGTCAAGAGGTTAGTAAGACAGCCCTGCCCCCACCCAGCCCTCCTCCCCCAGGCACACTTCCTACACACACACACACACACACACACACATGCGTGCGCGCGCGCTTTCTATCAAACTAGTGATTCTGGGTTGCAGAGCACATCATGAGAACTAGAAATTCTCTGTGTCAGCACCCCACCCTAACCCCCACCAAAGCACTCCTTGGCTTTATCTGTGTCTCTGGGCAAAGATAGTATGTGAGACTCCAAGAGGTTGACAAGGGTTTGGATGGTTTCTGGGAATGGTGTGGACAGAAGTACTGTGACCTGGGGACTGCTCTCTTCTGGAAATCCTCTAAGAGCATATTGCCCTCTGGTGACAGGAGTCACTGCTCCCGGGGCACCATCTCAGAGGATTATTGGAAACCTTGTCTTCTGACTAGTTAGATAACATACCAAGGCACAAAACAATCAGCTCTTTCACTCTGCCCACATACAGCTCCCAACACCCTGCTCCCCTCTTTCCCACTCCGCTCTTTCCTGCTGTTCCCCTGGGGCAGACAGGACATTTTCCTGCCTCCCTCTTCTCTCTGTTCTCTCTCTGTCTCCGTCTCTTTTCTCCCCACCCCTTCCCCTTCTAATGGAACTTCTCACTTAAGCCCTGTCTGCCTAGCATGTTTGTCCCTCTGCCTCAGTCCCTTGTCTGCCATGGAATCTGCCAAGATCCTCTAAGAGCATCTCAAAAAAACACTGAATGGACAAGGAGAGGCCGGTATAGTTAAGATGGTTAGTTGAAATTTATGAAACTTGGGGTGTCTAAGACAAGGTTTTTGTTGCTGTGATAAAACACCACAACCAAAAGCAACTTGGGAAGTAAAGACTTTATTTTATCTAACAGTTTGTAAGCCATCATCTAGGGAAGTCAGGGCAGGAACCCGGGGGCAGGAACTGATGCAGAGGCCATGGAGGAGTGCTGCTTGCTGGCTTGTTTCCCACATCTTGTTTAGCCTGTTTTCTTATAGCACCCAGGACCACCTGCCCAGGGGTGGCACAGCCCACAGTGAGCTGGATCTCGCACACCAATCATCAACCAACAAAATGCACCATAGGCTTTCTCCCAGGCCAATCTGGTTGGGGCATTTCCCAACTGAGGATTCTTCTTCCATGGACTAGAGTTGACATAAAAGTAGCCAGCATGTGAAGTAAAATGGCAAATATTTGATGCCATCAGTGCATTTCCTTTCCAGTAAGTTTCCATAACACAAATTCTAGCTGTAGACCTGGCAATGTCAGATGAAAGGATGCCTGTAGCTTTTGCTATGTTTACTCAGCAGGGCTGAGAAGCAAGAGTTCTTTCTGGTTTCCTGATTGTAACTCTAGTCTGATTGGCTCATTGAGGTTCAAGACACCTGTGCTTAAGGCACTAAATTCACTGTTACAATCAAACATGGCTTGTTGTCAATCTCCCAATACTCAGATGGAAACTTCAAGTTTTGAGGTCAATAGAAATCCATCACTTCCTTGGGTACCACCTCATTCAACATACTCACTGTTGATAGCAGGGGTTGTCTTTGCATAGCGAACCCACATGGAGCCCCAGTAGTGTCCTCCAAGACTGAGGTTGAATCCCAGGTGGAAACCACTTGCCATTCTTGAGCAGAGGTCTTTGGCAGCCACAAGGATGGAGGCTGTTCACAGACTCTGCCCCTGCTCACTTTATGCCTGACCTCTCAGTGGCCTGTGGAGTTGCATCTTCTGCAAGACAAAGGATCAGTTAAGTTACCAAGAAAATCAAGCACGTCATAAGGAATCTGAGGTCCTGAGGAGGAAGATGTTGCCTGAGGAGCAGCAGGTGAGTCAATGTGAAGCTGGAGTCCCCTCTTTTTGGTTGGCAGAGGAACATGGTCTCACAGACAGTGAAGAACAGAGCCACAGGTAAATCATGATATGTTTTGATCACGTGACCCAATGAGGAAAATTCATACTCCAGAGGATAGCAACATTTCATATTTGTCTCAAAGAGGTCAAAGGTCTGGGAGTCATTCATTGAGTCTTGGGATTGAAGCAGGTCTTTTCTCCCTCAGTTACCTTCCATTCAGAATCGCCTTTCATCTTTTGTAGAAATGTGAGCTGCTTCTCTTGACTATCTACTGCCATCCAAAAAGTAGATTTTTTATCTCCAAACCAAAGAAAGTGAGTAACAACAACAGAACTGAAATCTTGTGATCTTATTCCCACACAAGTCGTCTTTCTCTTTGCCTTGTTGATAGGTATCTTTGTGCAGGTAACCATACATAGCAAATGACCATAGACTGGGCCAGTGTACACAATATAAATTTGTTTCTTATGGTTCTGGAGACTGGAGGTCCGGGGCCAAGGAGCAGATAAAGCCTGGGTTCTGGTGAGGGCCTTCTACTTCATTACTTGAGACAGGGTCTCACTGTGTTTCTCTGTCTGGCCCGGAACTCACTCTGCAGACCAAGCTGGCCTCAAACTCACAGAGATTCACTTGCCTCTGCCTCCCTACTGCCAGGGTTAAAGATGTGTGGCATGATCACTGACTAAAAGTCTTCTGGGAGGTAGGTAGCTCACTGCTGACTGCCCTCTCATGGTGAAAAGAGATGGAGAGAGTTTCCTGGAGTCTTAATAAGGGCGCTAATTCCACCACCACCACCCAGAGGGGGTCGGTACCTTCATAACCTAATTGCAAAACCTTTACTTCTGAGTTGCAGTGTACCAGAGGTTAGGATGATTTAGAGGGGGTGGAGATACAACCATGGGAGTGTATGGAGGCCGACTCGGGACTATTCTGACAGCTCCCTCCCCCAACTTTGGTGCTTTCCACAACAGAGGAAAGAGAACTTTCCAGACATTCAGGAGCACATGTGGTTGAACAAAATCAAGTACAGGCTGAATAGGAAGACATACCTTTCGGTACAACATTTCGTGAAGGACATGCGTCTCATCTTTTGGAACCACAGGATAATTTATAACGTAAGAGCCTCTCTTTCCTTCTCCTTTGAATAAGTCACTTTTCCTCATGTCAGGTAGATGCTATAATTGTCCTGATCGTGGGGCAAGCCCATACAAGTCAAATCTGAGGGAGGATTCATGATGCAGGTGGGGAAAGCATCAGTGACTCACTTAGGTCCTCCGGAAGCTCACTTCTGGGCAGCCAATTTTCACCCATGGAGAGCAACATGCTACAGAGCTGCTCACAGTTGCAGGGAACAGAAGTGTATTTTAAAGGCAGCCAGCATTTCTCATCTATAAAGAGAGAAAATCAGATTTCTCCCATTGCAAAACCCCAAGTTCCTTAATATTCAAATGTCCTAGTGCTGGGGCAAAAAGTTCTTGCAACAAGGCTGGAGCAATGGCAGGGCAGTTAAGAGCACTTACTGCTCTTGGAAGGAGTGGAGTGTGGCTCCCAGCACCCACATCAGGGAGGTCACCTGCAGTTCCAACTGCAGGGAATTCAGCCCCCTCTTCTTAATTCCTCAGGCCCCTGCACTCACATGTACACGCCCACACATAAGTACACATACTTAAAAATATTAAAACGCCAAAAACAGAAGCAGGCAGATCTCTGTGAATTTAAGGCCAGCCTAGTCTACAAAGCAAATTCTAGGCCAGTCAGGGCTACACAATGAGACCCTGTCTCAAACAAACATTAACAAAAATAATAGTAAATATATTTTAATTAATTTCCTATTTTAGAATTTTGTTTGTCATATATTTTCTTCATATTCTTCCCCGGGTCCTCCTCACCTCCCTGTCCACTCAACTTCAGATTCTCTCCCTCTCAAAAAAAAAAAAAACCCTCCACAAAATGATTATCAAAACAAACTAAAAAAACAAACAAACCAAGACAAAAGAGAGCAAAACAACACAAAAAGTACACACACACACACCAATTTTAAAAAGCCCCACGGAGTCTGTTTATGTTGACCAGCTACTCCTGGGCTTGGGGCCTGTCTTGAAAGGTTGATATAGCCACTGACACTCTGATGGAGAAGACCAATTTTCATTTTCCCAGTACCAATTGTGAATAGCTTTTTGATTAGGGTGTAATGCTGCGCTTACTTCTTCTCAGGGCTGGGATTTTGTCTGGTTTGAACCTCTGCAGGTCTTCAACACCCTGTCACAGTCTCTGTGAATTCCTATGTGTATGAGCTCTCTTATGCTAGAAGATGCTATTCCTTGGCGTCATCCATCACCTCGGAGTCGTAGGGTCTTTGTGCCACCTCTTCCTTGAGGAGAGAGGTTTGATCCCATTAAGAACTGATTTCCTACTTCCTTTTCAGAACTGCAAGTTCAGCAATCTTGGAGTTACAGTAAGAAGTCTATTTGAGAAGACTTTCAAAAGAATTTTTTCAATCGAAGAAACAAGCAACTAACTCCAACCTTGTACCCACAGTGTTTTGTTAACATAGGCCTTTCTATTCTCTCCACTACCCATGCTTCCAGCAGTCAACAGTACAACGTTCACTCTGCCCTTCTGTGTAAACACTGTGCCACACGACTGCTTCTGACTCTGTATTGCCCTTCCTATTCAATTATCTTCCTAGATAAAATTTAACATTTGCAATGTACATCACAGTAGTGAATTGTCAGGTGCTGAGGGAGCCCACTGAGAACATGACTTTGGAAGCAGGATTGTACCCCTTCCACATTTTAAACCCAAGTATGTTTGTCTCCAAATGTCCACCAAAGCATCTTTTCTAAGAATGCCCTGGCCCCTCTAATCCAGTGGCTGGACAGAGAAACCAGCAAAACAGGCCAAGAGTGGAAACACTCTCCGTAGGAACAGCTAGAAGGTGAACTATTTCTAACAGATATTACACTCGTTTATCCTGTTTATTCTTCAACCTGGAAGCCTCACCAGATGCTAACTCTGCTCTGCCCTGGATTTCCGAGAGCTCTGGCACCCCCTCCCTCCACCTCTACAGGACTTCCCCAGTCAATGCCCCGTGGATATTTTAAGCACATAATTAACAATGTTTTGTTGTTTTTATATTTACTCTTTTACTTTGGCTTGTTACATACTTAATAAACACACTCATTCAAAACTGAAAGTATGGCCATCTTTGCTGATTCCCAGGCCTGTGTAGAACACAATCGGGTGGGCCAACAATCTCTACAAGATGCTATTTCTCTTTTCAAGTAGTGACTCCTGTAAAACTCAGAAGAGGGAGAAGGACCACACAACTGATAGAGTGACAATTCACCCTGCAGACACTTGGCCTCTGCTCAGACTGCTAGAATAAAGGAGCAAAATGTCTTCTATGTCTAAAACTGCAGTTTACAAGGTGAGCATGTCAGGAGTTGAGCACTTTCAGTGTTAGCATTCTGGCATCTACAGTGGCCTGTTCTCAGGGATCTAGCAGCCAAGATGTGGCATTGCAGCTAGATAAGCATTTCTGTGTCCCCAGAAGTAGCCAGATGAAGCCGGATTAAAAGTCCCGGTTTGATGAGCAAAGCACTCTCAGGTGACTCTCTAGCCCCCAGAAGTGAGGTGAGGGAGGGAAGAGGGAGGAGACATGGCAGGTCTATGGACTGGAGCTTAAATACACTCTATTTGAAGGCTTGAGCAGCTCTGGGGAGGATCCATTGCTTGGCAGGCTTTCTGAGGGGCAGGGTTTGGAGAGGGAGGAGGGGGCTGAGACAGAGCTTCCAAGGGAACATTCCATCCTTCTTGTGTTGTTGGGTGCTGCTTAAAGCATGGCTACTTCCTGTTGGCATCCGATGATGTGGGAGTCATGGGGTGGGGACTCAGGAGTCAGTGGGCCAATGCTCGGTGGGAGGGGTGGGTGAAGAAGCATTCAGCTGGCTGCCATGCTGGAGGCCTCAGGCATCTGTTCCTTGAGGAAGTGGAGAAGGCAAATTGCTAGGAGAAAAAAATAGGTTGTTTTCCCCGGCCCTATGAACGGGACTAGCCATGGGAGAGTGGAGACGTGCCCTGGCCCTGGCTGTACTCACAAAGACGAAGGAGCGGGCAGAAGAGCAGACAGGCTCTTCATTGGGGCAACTTGTAAAACCGGAGGACAGGTGCCCGCCTGAGCCTGGAGAGGTGATACCAGCACTGATGCCCCAGGAGCTTGGGGGATGGCGTGTCAAATCAGGGGATGATGTCATCCAGAGTACCTGAGTCGTCACATCTGCTGTATCCTGGAGGTGGGGAGTCTCTCCAGCCATCCTGCAAAGGTGTTGCTAAGAGTTAAGAGATAACAGAGCTTTTTATGAGTGGGCACGTGGGTGAAGACAACCTGCCGGTACTCGCCTGGTTGGTGTCCTCGGAGATGGTGCAGGAACTGGTGCATCAGGAGCACGCCCTGTGGGTTGGCCTTGGCAGAGGTCTGCCAGGAAGAGTGGACCTGTAAAATACAGGCTTGAAGATGGATGGGGTCAAAGAGGGGCTCTAGAGACTGATGTTAGCTTCCACCAGGCCAGAGTTCTTGATACAGTAGCAGAACTCTTTCAACAGGAAGCTGCAGGGCCTGTAAAACAGCTGGGGCAGATGTATACCTTGGTGTCACAGCAAAGACTATGTCTTTGGGTTAAAACATTTTTCCTAGGGCCTGATTTTAGCCTGATGAAACATACCTTTAAGTCTACTGCTGGTGGCCGTGTCAAGGGGGTAGCAGGTGACATTGAGGTTCTGGGTGTCTGCCCACTAGGAGGCAACACCCTGGTGGATAATTCTTGGGAAGGCAAGGCCCTGGAGACCACAGACCCTGGAAAGTCTTTTGCTTCTGCTATGCCTTTGCATGTTTGCTGTTGCTATCTCTTTCAGATATCTGGCATGGCTGAATTGGGTGTGGGGAAATTCCCCACTGGCTATAAGGTAATGTGTTCATTTCATGGAAACACCTCGTTCTGCCGGGCATTTTTACCTGCGAATTATTATGAGGATAATCTCCTCCCTAAACTGTACCATCCAATTAATAATAATAATGTTGGCTTACACAGAGCCTTGATGAATAAAAGTATATACAAGGATATGAATGTATCTCACCTAAGTGGTAAGAAACTTTGTCTGAGTTTTGTTAACAACAGCAAAAGGCTTGGTAGTCAAACAAGTACAGACATGAAACCTCAGTTTGCTACATTGTGCCACATATGTTATTTGGATTCAACTTTTGTTTTGATGGTTATTAAAATCCCTAAAGATATTGATCATCTTATAGCAACATTTATAAATAACTGGTTTAAACAGCAAAAATGTGTGTCCAATAAAGATGGTTGCTTGTGTTTTTCCAACTTTGTTAGATTTTTTAATCACTTTGAAGAGTGAGCCTTAGCAAAATTAAGACTTAGCTTAAAAACTGCTTTGTGGTGGCTAGTTGTATGTTATCAGCAGAGAGAGCACCAGTACCAGCATGACCTGCAGGGCATATTTTTGACTGATGAACAATGTGGGAAGTCCTAGCTTATTATGGGTGGTACCACCCCTGGGCTGATGGCCCTGGGTACTGTAAGAAAGCAGGCTGAGCAAGTCATGGAAGCAAGTTGGTAAGCAGCATCCCTCTCTGGATCTACATCAATTCCAGCTTCCAGGTTCCTGCCTCAAGTTCCTGCCCTGACTTCCTTGAATGACAGACTCCAAGCTATAAACAGAAATAAACCCTTTCCTCCCAACTTGATTTTGCTCAAGGTGTTTATCACAGCAGTAGAAACCCTAACCAATGCATGTTTCGTTTCTGTAAGCTTTTGTTTGTTTGTTTGTCTAAACTTTCTCTAAATGTTTTTTGTTATTGTTGTTTGGGTTTTGGTTTTTGGGTTTTTCTGTTTGTTTGTTTGTTTGTTTGTTTTGGGGTTTTTTTGTTTTTTTGTTTTTTTGGTTTTTCGAGACAAGGTTTCTCTGTGGCTTTGGAGCTATCCTGGCACTCACTCTGGAGACCAGGTGGCCTCGAACTCACAGAGATCCACTGCCTGACTCTGCTTCCCGAGTGCTAGGATTAAAGGTGTGTGCCACCAACGCCCGGCAACTTTCTCTAAATGTTATACATCCTTTAGAATGATAAAACTAGTAAGGCTGTCTGTACTCTGGCAAGTGGATTCTGATCCATGTACATTCCACAGGGAGGACAAACAATGGAGAGAGACATGTTTCCTATGCTTCCAGAAGAAGGTACATGGTCAGCAGGGCCCTGACCCCTTCCTGCAGAGACATGGCTGACAGAGGAGAGCTAAGGGAGCCAATGGGTCATTCCTAAATCCCCAAGAGGAACACATACAGAGTTTCAACAGACTTGACAAACAAAAGATTTATCTTTGGCCACCTACATGGTCTCAGACACCCAAAAGGAAAGCAAAATCAAAAGAACTGCCATTCAGATAGCCAAGCTTAACCTGTTTTAAAAGGAGGTTGTTAAATCCCATAAAGTTACTAACTGGGTTCACTTGTTTAAGACCAAACTTTATTTTTCAGGAAGCATCTAAAGTTTAAAACAAAACAAAATGCAACAAGCGAGACTAGAAAAATAAACCAACTGGGGACATATACATTGTCTTCAAAAGGGACCCCAAAGGTCAATTTCAAGTAAAAAGCCAGATGTGGTGGCACACACCTTTAATCCCAGAACTCAGAGGGGGGTGTGGGGGCAGAAGCAGGCAGATCTCTGTGAGCTCAAGGCCAGGCTGGTCTATAGAGTGAGTTCCAGGACAGCCAGGGCTATTTAGAAAGAATTAGTCTCAAAACAAAACTAGGTTCTGGCTATTATAAATAATGCTGCTATGAACATGGTTGAACAGATGTCCTTGTTGTATGAAGTGCTTCTTTTGGGTATATGCCTAAGAGTGGAATTGCTGGATCTTGTGGTAGACTGATTCCCATTTTCCTGAGGAATCGCCATACAGAATGGATAGAAAAAATGTGGTACTTTTACTCAGCGGGGAAAAAAAAAAAAAAAGGCAATGGAATCTTGAAATTTGCAGGCAAATGGATGGCACTTGAAGAAACCATTCTGAGGGAGGTAACCCAGTCACAAAAAGACAGGCTTTGTATGTACTCACTCATATGTGGATTTTAGACATAGAATAAAGGATTGCCAGCCTGCAGCCCAGGCTGCCAGAGAGTCTGGTGAACAAGGAGGACCCTAAGAGAGATATACATGGTCCCCTGGAGAAGGGGAAGGGGACAAGATCTCCTGAGCAAATTGGGAGCATAGAGGAAGAGGAGAGGGAATTAGGAGAATGAGAAGGGGAGAAGAGGAGGGGTGAGGAGGACATGATGGGACAGGGAGGTTGAGTTGAGGGAAGAACAGAAGAAAGCAAGATAAGAGATAATATAATAGGAGACATTATAAGTTCAAAGAGAAATCAGGCACTAGGGAAATGACTGGAGAGCTACAGAGATGACACCAACTAACAATCTATGCAACAGAGGAGAGGCTACCTTAAATGCCCTC